ACAAGGGAATGGAGTGCAGCATTCCCGAGTTTCAGAAAGGAAAACCGTGCCCAAATAAGACGAACGGTTTTTTTGGGCACGGAAATTGGCAAACCGTGCCCATTTCGGCTAATTACCGTTCCCAAATGAATAACCGTGCCCAAAACAATCAAAAGATTTTTTTGGGCACGGAAAGTGACAAACCGTGCCCAAAACGGCTAATTTCCGTGCCCAGAAAAATCCTCGTCCCTAAAGTATTTGAGGAAGAATGTATGCTACCATTCACCTAATACACTCTATAATCTCAGAAGTAATGACTCAAGACAAGTAATAGCAGAGACAAAAATCTTTCTTTAGTACTCGCCCTTCTGAATGGAATATGTTATCCTTAAAACATCAATCGATCAAGCTGTACACATGTGAACACATGTCGTAATTAGAACGTTTTCTTTTCTTATACAAGTGCTATTTGTTATCATAAAAAAACCAATGTTGCATTGGCATTCTGGTATACGATTGATCACAACACGAAAACTATTTGCATTCAATTCAAGACAGGTAGCGTAAAAATACATATCAAAATCTGAGTATACATTACTGCTCAAAATTATAATAACAACGAGCTTTTCAGTGTTCTACTCTTAATTCCATATTTCAAATCACGTCTAGAATTGATCTATTTCTTCAGACATACGCATTCAAGTACACTCTAAAAAAATGGCTTTTTACAAAACCTAAACAGGGTTCCGGATTTTGCAACCATTTTAAGGTCCCGTACGGAATAGGTTTAGTATACTGGATTTGAAACTGGACTATGCCTACCACTTTTTTCCGATGCTGGATCTTCATCTCTGTCAACACACTCGCTCGAGATGGCGTCAACATGGTGTCCAGTATCATAGTCTTGTTTAAAATCTGTATTAGGCAACTCCGTCGAAGGCGATTGATCGTGGAAAGAATCAGCTTTTTCTAATGAAATTGGCGTCTGACGATCCATTATGTTTTCTTGCCGATCCGATGGTGGTGATTTGTTTCCATCAACTATCCTATATCTTCTACCAAAACGTGTATCTGATCCACTAACAACGGTCTCATCAGCGTCGCTTTTAACAGGTTTTGAAACTGGACTATGACTACCACTTTTTTCCAATGCTGGATCTTCATCTATATCAACCAACTCGCTCGAGATGGCGTCACCATGGTGTCCAGTATCATAGTCTTGAATAAAATCTGTATTAGGAAACTACGTCGAAGGCGATTGATCGTGGAAAGAATCAGCTTTTTCTAATGGAACTGGCGTCTGACGATTCATGATATTTTCTTGCCGAACCAGCAATGGCGATTTATTTCCATCAGGTATTCCAGATCTTCTACCAGAACCAGTATCTGATCCACTAACAATCGTTTCATCAGCATCCCTTTTCACAAGATTCGAAACTGAAGTATCAGTCTTGAACGATTCTGCATCCAGAGTTCTGAAAATCATGTCGCTCGATGTATCGTCATTGTGGTATCCACCATCATAGTCCCGTTTAGCAACTTTACTATCTAATTTCTTCGAAGGCGATTGATCGGTGAAAGAAACACTTACTGCCAATCTGACTGCACTCTGACGATCAGTGATGTTTTCCTGCCGATTCACGGCTGGTAATTTCTTTCCATCAATTACTACAGATGTTCTATCGAAACTAGTGCCTGATCCACAACCAACCAATTTAGAGATTTCGAAACTTGATTAGCATCACTCTTGCCTGATGCCGCATCTTGAGCTCTGCCGATTATGTTGCGCGAGGCATTGTCACGTTCACTGTCAGAGTCTTGTTTAATGCCACTACTATGCAAATCGGTTGTCGCTGGTCGACTTCTTGAAGAACCAGATTTTCCCGAGCGAGTCGGACTATTACGATAAACAACATTCATCTGCCCATTTGGATGTGGTGATTTGTTTACATCAATTATTCCGGATCTTCGGTGAAAACGG